GGGGGGGGGGATTCAAGTCACTACCGTGAAACAAAATCACAAAATATTTGCCTATTCTAGGTTAAAACGTTTAAATAGTCTGTTGTTTAACATACAAGTTTTTGAGTTTAAATTAGCATTCAATTTTGTTTTTTTTTTAGAATTTCAACAAGATTTTGAGTCTAATTAAAACGTACAACGCTTCTCAAATCTCATATGTGTATTTTTAATTTTGATAATTCCTACATAGATATTTCGGATTCAAATAATTGCTAACATTTGGATATTTAGCCCTTGAAAAATAGAATTGTAGTTGGTAAGGGTCGCAAGAAACTTAAAGAAAGTGAAAATACAACCAGTTACAATCAAATACATTTCATTTTTCGTTTACCATAAACCACTGCCAAGTAAAGCAATTTTAAGATACAAGATCCACAAGTGATCGATCAAACTTCAAGGAGTTGAGCAAGGTGCTTTTTCCCTTTGTTTAGACAGGATTTAAGTTAAACTCTGCAACTTTACGCATTAAATAGGTAGGGCGCCTCCTTTTAAAACTAAAACAAAACATATGAAGAAATGCTTTTTGGTGGAAAAGCATTCAATAGGTACATATCTTATGGAGCAAATGGCATTTTCAAAGTTATAAAGAGCACTTTCTGTAAGCACAATGGATTCTACATAAAGTAAACAAAAAAGTGTAAAGCATTTCCCATTTTTCTACAACAACAATTCTAGTACATGATACATATATATATTCCTTGGACCATTTTTGTGCAGAAGTATCATTAGAAATAAATTTTGCACCCTCAGCCTGAACACGACAACTTCTAGGCATCACTTATCTTACATCCCATCAAGTTATGCCATAAAGTTTTCCAGCAGGGCTTCTTCGTTAAATGGAGAACACTGCACATATATTTGTAAATTATTTTCAAACATGTTAAAGAGTTGGATAACATTTATGGAAACATACCATCAATAGCAACTGGTTCATCACAAGTGAAAACTTCGGTATCGAAACCATGTTACATGTTCAAGAAAGCTATGAAAGATGTCATATAGGACTGTAATAAAGCACTGTGTATAGTTATGAAATTGCAAATTTTACACTTGTACGGACCAGGTAAATCACAACCTGGGATCAGTGTGATTGTTACATCCTAAAATTCTACTTCATAATATGAGGGCATCTCTGTTTTAAATTGTGAACAAAACACCCAAAACAATTTCCACAATATTAAGGTCAATGCCTCCCAATCATCCAGTTCCAATACAAAATCACATTTTAAGAAAAATCCTCTATAACGTATGTTGTTAAAGAAATAAGATACAAGCAAGATACATATTAAAGGAAAAAGATATTTGGATAAAAAACGTTTTGGTATAAATTTGTAAAGAGGAATATTCTAAAATTAAGATTTTTATGATAATTCCGGATAAATATGGTTTAACACAAGTATCTACAGAAACTATATATAAAATCAAAATCTTACAAACTGGATCTTTCAATAAGGACACCACAGGACAGAAGTACAGTGGCAGAAACATACCATGATTACTTCATTTCAACCTAGGTCTGATTTTCAATAACAGTTTAAATGTTCAAAGGTGATGCATCGACTGTTCTTACTTTAGAAGTCATCATTTTTTTTGTTTGACAAAATCAGAAATTGGCATTAGTACCACTTTAACGAATCAACAAATTCTTGTGAAATTTTTGCCCCAGATTTCAATATATCTAACCATGTGCATACTTTAATATCTATTACAAAAGAAAAACCATTTCAGCCACTGTATTCCTAGCCCTAGGCATCATTGTGAAGTAAACCCAGTTTTAGCTTGCATTGTCATGTGCATTTAGTTAAGTTCTTGATCACTCTCATGAACTTATGGATAAATCGAAGTTAACACATGTACATCATTTTATGGTGGAATTTTACAAATGTGAAATGATAGGACCAAGGTAAAAAAAGAAATGAAGTTTCTGGTATTTATCTTTATAAAGTCATCTTTCTGTATCAACTTTTTCAACAACTTGTGTACAAATAAATTACAATAAAATACTGTAGAACACAAAACATTTGTTGTGTATCACAAAGTTATACTGTGGATATATCAGTAGACAATGAAAAACATTTGCTGTTACATATACAGCCAAGGGAAAATCCTGGAACTTAAGAGCAGTGGGACACTCCAACATTTTTTGGTCAACATCAAAACTAAGAGGGGCCATTCTTTGTAAAATCAAAAATAATCTAAACATGGATTCAGTTTACATGGGGTCAATGGCCCCCTCCAGGATTACCCTGCATCTGGCCTCCCCGATAGGTTTGTACTAGTGTACTCCCCAGGCCCCAGTTCATTTGGAGTCCATCTTATGGCTCTGTTCCCTTGAAAATTTCAAATGTATTTTCCCAAAATTGGTGCACATTTTATTGTTTTCACAAAAAAGGGATTTTTTAGTATAAATTATTTTCTTCAGTTCTTGATATACATATATATAATTAACCCTTTCATCCCTATGTAACTTTAGTAAACTCTACCATGCATTGATCTGGATGAGTCCATTATGGTCCACATAGGTGAAACTTGTGAAGCTGTAGTAGAAAAATTCTTGCAAAAGTTTAATGTTCTACATTATTGAACCTCATTACAAACTCCACTCTTTCTTAGTGATACCAGAGACAAGAATAATCTTCCAACAATACGTCCGCCTTATAATGTTACCATTTCCATTTATGGAAAAAGTTATGGTTTTGTTTTTGTTTAAACCCCCCCAAAAATGGAAATGGCAACATGTGGACAGCACAAATTATCAGCCACACACAAACCTCATTCAAACAAACAATTATAACAGAGCTTTTATCTTAAAACATTGTTACATGTGCATGTATACATTAGGTGTGTTTATCAACAAGCAATCCATTTCTAATGGCATTCAGTCAAGAAAAACAAATTTGTACAAGCACTAAAATAGCACATTTTTTTCCAAACAAATCATAAAAAAATGGTGTTGCATCAACAATTTGAAGTTTAACACAAATCTGTGTTTCATTCTCCTAGATCTTGGACCATTGTTAACCATTTACAATTATACAAATACAATTAATGCCTTCTTTTAATGAAGGCGGTGCAAATTCATATATACATGTACAGATAAGGCAGTAAAAAAAAGTGGAATGCTGCTTACAGCAGATATTTGAAAGCAAGACTTCATTGTATACACACAGTGTAGCCAAACTTCTGATTTGAAAACAAAAAACCCTTTGATGGACAGACTGATGAACAGAAGTACATTTACAAATACACTCATGGACAGTAGCTAAAAGGAATACAAAATACACTAGCAGGTCGTCAGTTCTTTTGCCCAAACTTTTTCAGGCTGTGTTTCAGTTTTTTGGTGCTTGCTAAATACATGTATTGTCAAAACATTTGGACCTTTTCATATAAATAAGACATTCAATTTATAATTGCCCGATACAGGTATGTGTATTATACTTTTTTGTCAATTTTTGGCAATTAACATTAATAGAATTCCTTTCTAGAACTAAAATGTTTCGTTTGAAGCAACTCTTTTTGGTGCAATGATTTTAACATATACAATTCACTTGATTTACATAATCAGATTTCACCTTCTTGTGGCATCGATAACTCAATCGGAAATTGCTGTCTAATGAGCACTTAACATGATGATGCCTTTTATAAATCAAGATCTATTCTGTCTGTCTAGACCATTGTAATTCTGCCTATGTTATCATATTCATTTCTATTTCATGGTTATCTATTTTTAGCTTTCTTGACAGGATTGTTTGTTTTCATCTTTATGTGATGCATGCACCTATTGTGATGCAAGGCTGATGATTATATGTACAACAATGATGATGAACAGATGATATGATGTTGGCAACCGAACTCTACAACAAGAGTGTAATTTCGGCCTATAACTTTTGGACTATAACACCTGGTCGACAATAGAACTGTGATGCCATATTACCATGCAGTAGGTTCCTTGCAATGGGGTAATTTTTGTGGTAAATTTGGTGCGGACTTGATGAACGCATGTGGGATGATTCTCTGTCTTGTTGAACATAGGAAATAGGGGAGGCTCTATTGGAACACTCTGATTTTATATCTTCAGATTCACTGTCTTTCTCACTGTCCTCACTATGCGGAATGATCATCCTTTCGTCACAATGTCTATCGGACACATCAGGTGGCAGTTGTAGGCCGTCACCTTCCAGATGACGGATGGCTTCAACTATTGTTTCTAGATTCCTGCGCGACATTGATTCTGACATTGGACCTTCGCAATCAGATTTCACAATAAGTCCATGCCTTTCTTCGTCTATTGGATCCATGTAAATCTGCAGAAAATGCAAATGATATTTTATATAGATAAGGGCTGTTTTGATTTTTTCATTGCCATTCTTTTACAACAATATAGCATGGTGAACATTAGACAAAACTCAGTAAACCACATCTAAATACATACATTTGATTAACGCAGAGAATAAAGTGCCAATTGTATTTGTAAATTCAATAACCGAAACATTTACGCTGCAACATGTAATTTTGATTACTGTAGTGTAGGCGAGAAAGCTATTCTTTTTACCAAGTTGATAGTATCTAATATCTCGCAGGCAAAAATGTAATAATTTAGGCAATTCCCTGTAGACCGGGTCGTGATTCCAAGTCATTATCAATGTCGGGTATATATGCAGTTGCTACAAAATAATTTACACCTCAGTATTTAAATATTCCATAAACTATCAACAATTTTTGAGAGAAAAAAATAAAATCCTAACAAATGAATATATATATAGCTCGATATAGTGCGCTTACCATTTTATCCTTCTGCATTTGAACTTGCATTTTGACCCGCGACGCCAATTGTCTAATTCTCTCTTGGGCCTCCTTCTCTTCAAGTATCATACGGAGTTGACGTTCTTGTTCTAGCTGACACTTCAATTCTATCATTTCTCGCTTAATGTCCTCCAAAGCATCATAGTCTGATGATATACCTTCATCAGATGATTCTGAAACATCAATTTTATATATTCACCTTGTATAACAAAAGATTTTTTTTATATTTTATGTAGTCACATAGTTACATCTTCCTACATATATCACATGAGGTCAACTTGTCCAACACAAGTCGGACTTTGATGTATCCTGACTTAACTTAATTAATAGTTACACATCCAATTATGGGTTGATGGACAATTTAGCACCATGACTCAAGACATGATATATGCACACCCACCTAAACATTTTTTTTAAACAAGTTTCAATGATCCAGATTTTTTTTTAATTGATCTAAATGGTGTCAAATTAAATTCAACTACCAAGATGACCATCCTAGTTTTGACTCTATAAGTTAATACTTAAAGAAAATCCAATTGGAACCTTAAAAAAATATCTATAAATAGAAACTGACACTACTTTAGTTTTGCCGATATACACATGCAATGATTCTTAGTTTCTTACCGGTGTCTCGCTTCTTCCGCTTGGGAGGTGGGGAATCATGATACACCACCTCCAGGGGTCTCTCTCCAACGTCAAATTCACTCAAAATGCGCTTTAAATGGGTGTTCTGAGCAATCAACTTAGATTTATCTTGTTCTAATGCTTGAATGTAATCGGTTGTTTGTTGTAAAATGGCAGCCTGGAGAAATAAAGCAGGTTCTTTTATTAGTATAAGCTGAAATATCATTCTACCTAAAAATGAACAAAATAACACGAGCAAAAGGCTATCCTACATCTGATCAACACAGGTATGGTATACAGATTTAACACACACATGTACACCATATCTATATATACAAACGGTCTGTGTATTACCACCAGACTATAAGCTTTAGCTACTTAGGCTATCTTATTAGCAGGCCGAGCAGACAGCAGTCATTACCAACCACTTTCCCCAGACTGACCTCTTCAGGTCAAACTGATTAAATGACCAGTGGTCATCACATGACCCAGCTGAGCTGCAGCTGCCTGCTGGTAACCAGGGTGAAGGGTCAGTGAAACATTGATCCTATTTATATATGTATGCAGCTTGCAAAGCACAACTCTAGTTTTTACCGGCTTTGGAGATCATTATTTGTGAGTAACAATGCGAGAGATCATGATCAAGTGTTATTGTAAACGACATATATATATGGACAGCAGCCAGCAGGTATTATATATCTCACAGCAGTGACTTGATATTTGTACACATTGTGATCTACAATACAGATGTATACGATTCACAGCAAGACAAAACATTGGATGCTTCCCCTTTTAGTCTAGACTAGAAGATTAATTTTGCCACTTGGTGCACTAGCCATACTTGGCAACACCACCAGAGATATTGGCACAATGCCAGATTTCTTGAACTTGAACTGTACCACAGCTGATCTGCTTATTTCCCAGACAATCCCCATTTCTGGGGTGATCCGCCCTAACAAAGATGATTATTTGTATGCATAAAGATATGATTCCATAAGTAAGCATAAATCAACCCTTTAAAAATTACTAAAAAATAATGAAAAATCCACTATTTTTACGGTCTTACTGAAAATAGTAATATATATACCTTGCTTAATTTTTCTCCGTCATGATGGGGTATAAGTGTTTTCAGAGACTGAAACCCAGCATTGATGCTTTGCATTCGACGTCTTTCATTACTGTTAGCAATTTCACGCCTCATTTTCTTTTCTTTTTCCAACGGTGGGGGAGGTGAAAGAGTCTGATGTCTGAGAACAGAAAAAAATGTCATCCAAATTCGAACAATACACATTTGGTTTACAGTGATATTTGAAATACATTATTTTAAGCAAATGCATATATGTAGGTCAAAGAAGTAATATAGACGGTAAAATCCCTATATTGCTATATTTTCAATTATAGTATATCAGTTCTATCTTCTTGTAATATGATGTATATGTACATGTAACTGTTCTGTTTCACTGTGTCTTGAAAAAAGGAGCGGATTGCTCCGAAAATTTGACAACCTATATATAACTTGTCCACACTGTTGGAATTACTTCTTTGACCCATATATATATATATATATATACGCACACACATTTTAAATGCCAGCTGTTGACATGTTTTACAATGTACAACTAAATTGACAGTGTCAAGTTCAATTTCCAAGCTGACTGTGACCAACAATTGAAGTTATTACCTAAAATATTTCACTTCAATATATTTAATGTTCACCTTTTATACATAGGGAAAACTTGTGGTAAAATGGCCTGACATTTTGATAGAAGAGCTGATTTCTTGGCCTTGAAAAGTTGTTTTACAAAATCCACTGAAATTTAAACTAGTATTGCTTAAGTAAATTTAAGAATTCCAGATGTTCACAGTTGTTTAAATTTGCTATCATTTAAAAAAAAAAGCACTTGTTAGACGTTTTAATTATATAAGTATAAGGGGCAATCAGATTTTCGAAAGATTTGAAAAATTACATGATTCAGTAAAAAAAATAAACGTTAACAAGGTCTAAAAAAAAATGTTACAAATATCCTGGATATTTAAATTCATGCTCTTTCCAATTAAAAAAAAAATAACTGTTCAAAGTGGGCCATCTGATAACGATAAATGTGTGGTTACGAATTCGCTATAAATTTGCCTTCTTTATTTGTTTAGATGATAAAATCCGCAAGCGATGCGATACATTGTGTTAAGCAACTGATTCGATTGATTCACGATCACCTGACTGTCTGACAATATATATACGGCTTGATAACCACAGATAAAGATAGAAGGGTCTGTTACACAGGAATTTCTAAATAGAACGCACATCAAATTCGATCTAAAGAGATACTTCCAGTCTAATACCAAAAAGATCCATGTTTCAAATTTATGCCATCTGTAAGCATGACCACAGAATTAGATTAAACATGACCGAATATTTCACAATACGCCTACTTAAAAAGTAAGTTGGCACCATGCCAATTTTGCAAGCCGACCATATGGAAAGGACGACGTGATCGTAAAATGTACCAGAAGGTAAATAGAAATATTAGCATATCTAAGAACGACAAGAATATCAACCACGTTCTCAATTATAAAAATATTTCGAAGATTTAAAAAAAAATCACTTAAATGAACCGAGCCTTGAGCTAGACACGGTACCACGAGGAAGAGTTAGCTGCCCTTTGTTTTCATGTGTACCATGTGATCGAGCCGACTGGGACAACTGCTAAAATTTCATCAAAGTTCACACAAATGAAGCATTGCTGCGGTAAAATTGTTGCGCATTATATAACTACATATGATATATAATCATATTGTGATAGTCAAATAAAGTTGCAAGTCCAAAGAAAGAAATAATTCACGAAACAAGGTGGGTTACTCACAACTACGATAATGTTTATATTCTGCAAGCGTGCGTACGGAGCGTTACAACTCACCTCCCAAAGTCTGTCGTATAATCCTCCTCTCGGATGCGATAATCCGTCAACATTTTCCTCCTCTCACTTCCTCTATGATAAACTGACATATTCGAATAAAAATTATGTCCCACTTATTCCAAAAATAAACAATATTTACAGTTGTATTCCGGATTTACGATCAGGTTGTCGTAGCCAGAGAAGAATGAGTAATAATTGGCGGGAAACAGCTGTTGGTCGATTCACGACTAGAAGGTAGTGCCCGCCTTGCTTGCCAATATTTATTCATGAATAACATGATGGAAAAATAAATCCGGAATGTTTGAGAAATAATAAATTCATAATGGAAAATCGTTTGTATCAATTTCAAAAATACCTATATTTTTTTACCTTTCACGAAACATGACAGATTATTTTCTTACGCGTAGTACTACTACTTTCCCAAGCCAATTTACCACTCCGTTGGCAAGACGCGGGAAACAAATCAACAGCTGTTTGGCAGTCGGCCAGAAATGGAAGTAGGGAGAACTTAACATCACAGCGGACAGGTTTTTTACATTTATAGCTATTTTGCGACTTCTTTATGTCCCACTACAACATAGTCTCCAACACAAATATAAAATAGTTGATATTTGTTAATGTAATTTTTACATTTTTTTCTTTTACATGCGTATTAGTTAACATGTTTGCAGAGACTATATCAAATTCTTTACTTGAAGCTACTATGTCTGGAATGTAGACTGCTCTATGACATTACCTTATTCGTCGTTCCTAAATATAGTAGTCAATCAGCTGAGCGAGTTCACCCTTACGCATTCTTTAGGTCAAGGACAAGCTAACCGGCTTCAATGCGTTTGTTTGCAAACAGTGGGGACATAGTCGGTGCAATGTGGGGGAGTGGTGGGATTCGGTATCACGACTTGAGTTGTGAAATGTTGCTAAGTGGAGTAAGCTATCTTTCACATTGTCAGCACGCACTGATAAAACGTTGTTGTTGAATATTAAATAGATAGCGTTTATTTGTACAATCAATTAACTTTATTTCCCACTTACTCCGTGGGAAAATGAAATCTGTATTTTATTCCGCATAGTCTACTCCGGAAATGACAGGTTAATAGTTAAAATGGCTGGAGTTCACCGACATTTTTAAGCACTGGTTAATGCCCGCATGTAAATATCCCCATAACCTAGGCCTACTCGACCCAACCGCGTGTACAGGTGCGTAGGCGTCTAGACCTGCTGTTTGCATTTTACAGCGATAACGGGCTATGGGGTCGTCTGTGAGTGTGATATTACTCTTGTTACTATGAAGTATGAATGCTATGATGAGTTTTTTCATAACATTACCTTTGTAATAACAGAATTCAAGCATGGAAAATTAAACATCAAAATTCATGATACATGCTGTCTATATATTCTGTATAAACAGCTTTACCTTACACGCTAGCTGACCCTAAATAACCAAGCCCCGGGATCATGACTGAATTCGGACTTATAGCTGATCAAGCCTATGAATGGTCTTTTGTTAAATATTTCACATCATAATTTGTCAATGTCAAATTGCTCTTTCGTAAGTATACAAGTTAATTTGATCGCAACGACAAATATAACCGTGACAGGAACACTAATTATAGTACGTACTTATATATAATCTCACGGACATATGTATACCAATATATTTTAATGTTGACTATTAAAAACTGATCTCGGAGATATCGAGGAATATTTCGTGACCATTTGATAAATGATGTCTTTATTGTAAATTTCCACGTGATGATTAAGAACCAGGTCAGATAGAGACCTAATTTAAATAACAATGGTGTAAATAGATAGGTAATGTAATTCTGGGTCAAATGAATGTTTATATTTCACTTGTTATCGTTATCTGTACAAGAAATACTAATTTTAGAACAATTGATCAATTTGAAAACCGCCCTGCATGGTCGGCTTGGATTGTAAGATCAGTAAGCAAAGTGTTGTTTTTATCTAAGTTCTTAAAGGTAAATCGATAGTACTTCATCGTTCGACTAACCGTGAGAATTTTTATTTGTAAGCGTCAATCAATATATCTGAAACATCGAACAGTTGAGTGTAAGCCAACGGTGCTTTTAAGTTAAGCCCATGTCGATTTCACAGCTGACTGCGCGTGCCCTAGATATCTATCGATGAATGGCCTGGTATTAGCGTACGTATTCGATAGTGATTGGTCGAAAAAAACTATGCTCACAACTAGAGGCGTCGACTCATAACATCTCTGTCACAACTATAACTATATAAATATCGCGCTGCATGAATTTGATGACATGTGTAGGTTACTCCATATGATTCACAATGAACACGAGCTGCTACGTAGATTCCGGATTTGTGTATTGTATTTGATAAGATCCTCTTTACAAAATGCATTTTTAATGTTTAAAACAAAATTACATGATCTTGGGTAAAAACATACTAATGAAATGACTTTATATAATGAGAGACATATACACACGGTATATAAATCTCTCTGCAGTATTTATCAATTTTGGACTGTGAAGCTTTGTTGGGGTGAATATTTGTTAATAGGAACTTGAGAAAAGCTATTGTTTCTCAAAATAGTTACACCGAGTTAGTATCACAAAATACTCGACTTTCACGTGATTATTGTTCAACCAATGATGATGTAGTAAAATATAGTATTGTTTAATATCACAAAATAAAGACCCATATTTTCCAAAATACAGTCTCCTTGATCTGCAGGTTCGGGGAAAGAAAAGGCCTGCTGTATCCCATTACAGTAATAGGTCTGCTGTATCCCATTACAGTAATGTGTATGCTGTATCCCATTACAGTAATAGGTCTGCTGTATCCCACTACAGTAATATGTCTGCTGTATCCCATTACAGTAATGGGTATGCTGTATCCCACTACAGTAATATGTCTGCTGTATCCCATTACAGTAATATGCATGCTGTATCCCATTACAGTTATATACCTGCTGTATCACATTACAGTAATGGGTATGCTGTATCCCACTACAGTAATATGTCTGCTGTATCCCATTACAGTAATAGGCCTGCTGTATCCCATTACAGTAATATGTCCGCTGTATCCAATTACAGTAATGGGTATGCTGTATCCCATTAAAGTAATATGTCTGCTGTATCCCATTACAGTAATATACCTGCTGTATCCCATTACAGTAATATGCCTGCTGTATCCCATTACAGTAATATGCCTGCTGTATCCCATTACAGTAATATGTCTGCTGTATCCCATTACAGTAATGGGTATGCTGTCTCCCATTACAGTGATATGCATGCTGTATCCCATTACAGTAATAAACCTGCTGTATCCCATTACAGTAGTAGGTCTGCTGTATCCCATTACAGTAATATGCCTGCTGTATCCCATTACAGTAATATGCCTGCTGTATCCCATTACAATAATAGGTATGCTGTATCCCATTACAGTACATGTCGTAAAAGGCGATCTGAAGAAACCACACGTGATCTGCTTCCCCATTGCAACATTTGGGATCTTTATTTTTTCTTTCGACTTCCTGAAAACAATTTGCTTCCTGCTGCCTTTCTTGGCAATATGTCACTTTTGCCCTTTTTGTTGAGCGTTCGCCCAAGTGGTGAAGTGGTACTGGCCATGGGTTCTGTCCTCAGGCCGGAACATACCAAAGTCCTTAAAATGGTAGTTGCTATTCCATGCTTAACGTTCAGCTTTGAGGTTATCGCAACAACTGGTTTACCCTACAGGGACCTGATAATTTGTTACAGCTATATTTGGACCTAAACGAGCCTGTTCTGAGAAATTTTACATGGTTTAAGTGATATATATCGAATTTCGGTAAAAATGACACCACAATGATTATTGAAATTCTCAGGTCCCTGTGGTTTACCCGATGTTTGTTACAATGCGACCGGGCGGAATGCTGCGCTGGATGCCTTTGGCATGGTATTTCAGTGAGGTAGCACTCTAAAGTCGGCATCAGATCCGTGCTATCGCAAGGAGGCAATACTTCAACAGACCTTGTCTGCAGCATGCACACATTATACATACGAAGACACCTCTTTGGATGACCTTAGCGGCTAATAGGACGTTAAACAAAATAAAACCAAACCGAATACAGAATACATGTTACGAAATGAAGCGCCAATTACAAGGAAGCTTTACTACAGTCATCTTTCGGATACGGATTAACTGAATCTAGACTATGTGTAGGGTATGGATCTAGACTGTGTGTAGGGTATGTATCTAGACTGTGTTTAGGGTATGAATCTAGACTGTGTGTAGGGTATGAATCTAGACTGTGTGTAGGTTATGGAGCTAGACTATGTGTAGGGTATGGACCTAGACTATGTGTAGGGTATCGATCTAGACTATGTGTAGGGAATGAATCTAGACTATGTGTAGTGTATGGATCTAGACTATGTGCAGGGTATGAATCTAGATTGTGAGTAGGGTATGAATCTAGACTATGTTTAGGGTATGTATCTAGACTATGTGTAGGGGTATGAATCTAGACTGTGCGTAGGTTATGGATCTAGACTATGTGCAGGGTATGAATCTAGATTGTGCGTAGGGTATGAATCTAGACTCTGTGTAGGGTATGAATCTAGACAGTGCGTAGGGTATGGATCTAGACTAGGTGTAGGGTATGAATCTAGCCTATGTGTAGGGTATGGATGTAGACTATGTGTAGGGTATAGATCTAGACTGTGTGTAGGGGATGTATCTAGACTGTGTTTAGGGTATGAATCTAGACAGTGTGAAGGGTATGGATCTAGACTAGGTGTAGGGTATGGATCTAGATTATGTGTAGGGTATGGATCCAGACTATGTGTAGGGTATGGACCTAGACTATGTGTAGGGTATTAATCTAGACTATGTGTAGGGTATGAATCTAGACTGTGTGTAGAGTATGAATCTAGACTGTGTGTAGGTTATGGATCTAGACTATGTGTAGGGTATGGATCTAGACTATGTGTAGGGTCATAATACAAATATCTATCTGCTTAAAGTACATGTGTGCTGTCTCCGACTGTAATACACGCTAGGAATGTGGTGTCAAAAAATATTATTAACGTCGTCTGAGACAGATAATACTGTCTATTTACAAATCTAAATTGGCATTGTTTTACCCTTGTCTAAGGATCACACAAAAAGACTTATAGAACAATAAACCAAAGTACGTAATAAATCTATACACACATATTTATACATGTACCGATATCAATCTATAAACACAGACAGGTTCA